GGGAGCAAAGTGGGAAACGCAGCTCCTGCCAGTCCCCTTCCCAGGGACAGAAAAGTGCATTCTGGGAAAGCTTCCCCTGCTGTGACCTCACCTGGGAGAGTGGCACCTACGAATCCCACAGCAGAGGACATGCGACACGCTGCCATGAACCCCTCCCTCGCCCCAAACACTTAGCCCACGGGTCTTGCTGCTCTGAAGCAGTTGGGGAAGTCCTCTGTCCTGAGGTTCCATGCTTGTACACTGTGACTCCTTTGACGTCCTGAATCACCTCAAAGTCTGTATTTTTCACCATCACGTTGACTTTGGACAAGAGCCAGAGTTCCACGGCGTCAGGTCTGCTGCCTAAGGTGGATGAGGACAGAGCGTCAAGTTTTACGAGCCGCCTTTCCATCCCACGGTACTCGGCAGCAACATTCACCGTATTCTCATCGACTTCATAGATAGAAAGAGGCCTCCAGAGCTTCCCAGGAAGACGGTGAGGAGGACAGGACAAGGGTCTGAAGCAAAGGGGCGCATTTTGAGGGGAATTAATGGCAGTGTCTTTTACTGCAATAAAACTTTCGAACATTCTCCGTCGACGTGAGATTAAGAGCCGACTAACATAAATGACTTCTTTATTCCTCCCACTGGCAGTGGTCTCACAGCCGAAGGCGCTGACTGGCCATGCAGGCCAGGTGGGGGATGGGGCCCCTACGCTCCTTCGTGGGTGCTGAGGGTTCACTATCATGAGCAGGCAGCTCGGTGGCGCCCAACCCACCAATCACCAGCTTTGGTTGTGGAGTAGAAAGTCGGATCTGCTGGTTTTCCCTCCTCGGTGGTGAGTGCTTGGCTCAGAGGCAAAGGGCTCCCAGTGTGCCTGGATGGGGTGCAGGGAGCCAGAGTGGGTGGAGTCAGGCCAGCAGGTGGGTGCGTTGGGCCGTGGGGAGGCCCGGGGAGTGGGGAGACCTGAGGCCACAGGCAGGAGTATTTGCAGGTTGGAGTGTCCTTACTGCCTCTCCTCTCACCAGCCTTCAGCTCACAGTAGTTTCTTCACTGGGTCCCAATAATCAGCACAACAAACCAGGTTTCCCCTTCAGCTGTCCCTGCAGGAATCTTTCTGTTTCTGGTATCAAGCACTGAACCTGGGGCCTTCCCACGGAGCTGACCTCTTTCTTCCCTAAGTTTCCCAGGCTCGCTCAAACTTGAGTCTGCCTTGGCTCAGCCTTGCAGAGTGCTGGGATTCCAGACCTGGGCTAAAGGCAGCTCCTGACGCCCATCCTGCAGTGGCCGATTTCCTCCTCGGTTGGATCAGGACTCCTTGCTGGCATCCCACAGGACTGTGTGGACGCGCATGCTGCCTCACATGGTCCTCTGGATGGTCCCGCCACATCTATGGAGAGGGAGGGCTGAGTGCACCCCTCAGGTCCCCTGTGAAATGCCGGGGTGGGGGGATACACGCAGTTCCGCCTTTCTCAAACCCCTCTACCTTCCTGCACCTGCTGCCGTGCCCCGGGGTAGTGCTGCCACTGTGCCTTGGATGCTGCACCCCTGACACAGAAGGGGAACCCTGATCCCCCACCCTGATGCAGTGTTACGGGGAGGGGATCAGCTCGTGAGGAGAGCAGGATGCTTCAGAAGGAACCCTGGCCTCCCCACTGCTGAAGTCACGGTCCCAACTCATCATCTGGGAAGCAGGAAGTGGCCCTGGAATTTGCCAGAATCTGCTGGCACCTCCACCTTAACTTCCAGCCTCGTCACTGTGAGAAACCACTGCTGCTTATCAGCTGTTTAGGGTGTCTGCCCCACCAACCCGAAAGGATGGAGACAGTCCCCCCCGGACACTTCTTCCCTGCAGGAAGAAACACTAGCCACTCGATGGAGGGACAGGAGAGTGCAGAGTAACTGCCACTTGCGGTTCCCTCGGGGCAGCAGACAGGCTGAGTCCACCTAGCCCAGGCAGTGGTGCTTCCACCGCAAAGGCCTTCTTTGTTGGAGGGAGCTGCGAACCCGTGCTCACCTGGGCATGTTTATTTCCTCTCCACCCTCTGAGGCATGGGTGCAAAAGTAGACTCAGGTGTTCACAAGCCTGTGGGTTTCCCGAAGTGCTCTTCCCAAGCAGCTGTCCATGCCTGTGTATCTCACTGTCATTCCAGAAGAGCAAGCTTTGCAGTTACTGGCCTGCCCTGCAGAGCACGCATCCCACTTCAGACCTGGTGCTCACTGGAGCTTGTGAACTGACACTCAAATCTTCTGTTGCACGTTATTTTCCCAGTTTTGAGGGATGCTATTGAATTTTCTCACTGTAACTGCAGATTGTCATTTTTCTTTCTGTAATATTATTCGATTTTTCTCGATATTCTGTTGCAAGCTGCTTCATACTTTTGATGGAATGTTCCTGTTTACAAATATAAAGAAAGGTTTCCCATTTCCCCAGTTGCCATCTAGCCATGAATCCACTTTATTTGATAAAAACACAGACACACTGAGTATCCTTATCATTTAAAATGGCACTCTCAGAGATTTATTCCGGCCTGCACACATGTGCGATATGTGAAATGAGGCTTCTGGCAGGAACAAAGGACTAGAAAACCAACCGTCTCCTCACAGGGCACGGGAATAGAGAGGAGGGGAGCGTCTGCTTCTCCACTAAGGGAGCAGAGGCTGAGATTCTGCCCGGAAGTGAGCTCCAACATTTCACAGAAACAGAGCTGAGGACCAAAACATTCCGTATGTCAACATCTGTGGCACTGGGGAAACCCACCTGTCCTCTCCTCTATCTGTACAGACTGTCCCTGGAAGGAAAGGCAGGAAATTGCTGGCTGCCCCTCTGGAGGGCGGAGGGGCAGGAGGCAGGTGTTTACTGATCTGAATCTCTCAAATATTGAGCTCAGAATGTTTAGCAATTCAAAACGTAATTAAAACACCGCCTCTGCACCTGCACCTTGCATGAGCACTTCAGCGTCCACCTCAGCTGTTTTGGGAGCCATCCTGCACCTTCTGTCCAGGGTTTCTGTGTTCACCCCTTCCCTGTCCTGCCTGGTCATTCTCTCCCCTCCAGCGGGCTGCAGGTTGTGCTTCCTGCTTCCTGCTTTTTGCCCACCACCAGCACATGGCGTGGTGGAGCCGTGTGGTGGGGCTGGGGCTCTGGCCGAATCCCTCAAGCCCCGCTCTGCAAGGCCAGTGGGTCCACTTGTTCATATTCATCTCCTGACCCACTGAGCAATCCCAGGTCCTGACCTGAGGTCCGGTACTAAAATCTCCCACTTGGCTTCAGCCCCCAGAGGTCAGCTGGTTCTGCCAGTCACCGCACATTCCTGGGGACAGGGTGGACGCGCAGGACGTCTCCCTCCTTAACACTCTGCCCTGTGCGCCCTCATTTTCCACTCCTGAAGTGACAAGCCAGGGTCTCTGTGGTGTCCTGCTACCACACGCAGCGGGGAGTGACTGTGAGCAAGTGGACACTTTGCACATGTGCCAGTCTGCGATGTGGTCAAAGTTGTGTGTGCCCGGCACACTTTTGCTAGGGAATCTGTGCCTCCTAAATTCACCTTCTTCCCAAGTCTGAAGGGAACGATGGGGTCACATGGTGAGTCTGTAACCCTTGTCCCATCAGTGGGTGACATTGCACCAGGGACACGGGACCTCCGAGGGACGAGACCACCTCCTAGCTGGACATCTTTCCTCCACGAAGTGCTCTTCGGGATCAGATTGGCCAAAATGCCGACTGAAATTAAAGAAAGCTCTCCTGAAAGGCACATGGTTAGGGACACTTCTTGCCTTTAAAGCTGCCTGGGACATTCTGGAAGCTCTGAGGATGGCCATAACCTCATGCACCCAGGACTGAGAACCCAGGCGGCCACTTCCTTGAGTCGCCGGGCAGGTTATCTGCTGCGAAGTCCCCAGCAAGTGACATGCCACCCAGTGGATGCACCATCTGGGGCCCTGACTGCTGAGGACCCCAGACCCCTCTCACTGAGCAGGAAAGAAAGGTGGGGCGTCAGGACACGGGAGCTCATGAGGAGCAGCACCCCACACTAACTGGGAAACAGCTGAGCATCTGACAGTACCGACGGCGAGCCCACTGAATGAAGCACTGCTTGACTGCAGGGACACACCCAAATGTGACCTGGAGCTCAATATGAATGACGCAGACGGAAGGCAGGAAGCCTGCGTTCCACAGCCAGCATGGAAACACAGGCTGTGGTCGAGCTACGAAGTGGGGCTAAAGCAGGTGATCCTTCAACAAAGCAGATGGTTTTGAGGTCACCTCCCTGTGGCAGCCCATTTTGATGGAGCAGCACAGGGGCAGACATGGAGCAATGACCTCAGTGCCCTGCTGCAGGGACACAGCACCACCTGGTGCAATACCACCGGACAAGGGACCCATCCACAGATGGCAGGCCCACGGCTCAGAAAGAAGGTGGCATCACACACAAGGGAGCCAAGTGCTGCGTCCCCGTGGGCCAATGTCTGCCAGACTTGGGGTGGGGTGGGGCAGACCGGAGGGGCTCCTGATGGTGCTGCGGCTGGGGAGGGTTCCAACAGACTCAGACGAGCCAACCCAAAGAGCTGAGCAGAGGCACGGTAGCCCGAGCCCTGAGGAACCCACTGGTGGCATTGAGGCCACCAAAACGGGCGCTGCCTCCCTGCCAGCACTCAGGCGGGGGCTGCAATGGAGCAGCCATTCAGGTTGTCGCAGCTGCTGAAGCCAGGTGACAGGGACACAGTGCCCCACCCTGCCCTACTTCTCAATTTCTATGTGGCAAACTGCGCCCCCCAAAGCCAGGACATGACCTGTCACAAAGCTCGGCCGTCTGAAATGGCCACACAGCCCCCAACAAGGGGGAGCTGCAGGCTCACAGCCTTGCCCCTCAGCCCTGGTCTGTCCCACTGTGCCAGGGCACCCATGGGTGCTATACTTGCTGGCAGTGGGACAAGCTAATCACATAGCGGCTGAATCTACCACTTCTTTGTCCTCAAAAATGTCTTCTTGAGAGACAAACAGGTAGCACGAGACATGGTATTATTAATAGCTCTTTATTTAAACAATCTCGGGATTTTCAACCCCTTTTAAAAATAAAAACTGCCAAGCAGCCACTGAAGAAAAGCAGAGAACCCCGACGGCCTCACAGCTGGCCAGGTGCTTCCTCTTCCTCAGAAGGTCTCCTGGCTTCCTGACCAAGGGGACAAAGGCACAGGATCCCAGCCACCCGCACCCCTCAGCCCCTCACTTCGAGCTCTAACAGCAGACTCTGCCTATGATATGAGCTTGTAAAACACTCGCCCTTGGGGCGAAGGGAGGCACAAGAGCAGGGCCCAGCAGCTGCTGCAGCTGCTCCTGAAGCACAGGACAACCGTGGGGACCGGCAGACAGCCACGCAGGCCCACTCCACACAGCAAGGAAAGCCAGCACCCGGGACCACGAGGACACTTCCTCCTCAGCTCCACAGAGCAGTACTGAGCAGTACCTGGTACTGAACCCAAGTACCAAGCGCGGGTCATCCCAGAGTCTCAGTCTTAACACACTCCCCGGCCTGCGGAGGCAATGACTTCCAGTCTGACACCAGGGCCCCAGCTCAGCGCACAGCATCCTCCCCGGGGGGCTCAGCCGGGACCTGCTCACAGCCTGGGGTGGTGCCTGGGCCGCTGGTGTCTTTGGCCTGGGGCTCCTCTGCCAGCTGCTCCTCTGCCCCGCCCTCTGGAGACCCGGGGCCGGCCGCGCCCTCAGTGGGAAGTGGGGCGCCCTCCTTCCTCTTCTCCACAAGCACCTCCAGTCCCATCATCCGGAGGTAGTGCAGCCGCTCATTCTTGGGCACGAAGGTCCGGATGGAGGCCTTTCCCCGCCACCCGCACAGCACCACCGGGCACTGCAGGGCCTCCGGGTTCCTGTGCACAAACGGTCTCAAGTAAACACCGAGGTCAGCCAGTCCCGTCCACCCACCCTCAGGCGTTCACATGTGGGTTTCACACACCAACACACCACACCAGTGCCGGGGCTACACTTCTCTCTGCATCTCCCTTGGTGTCACCTCGCAGACTGGGCGACTAACTACTGGGCCGTAGGAGGCAGAACCAGCCCTGTGGCCAGGACAGCACCGTCCCCCTCTCAGTGCCTCCCATGACATGGCCCACACCAAGCCGTGCCCTGACCCCAGTCCCACAACACTGTGCACCTCTAGTCACTGTGCCCCAAGCCCCTGCACACCCTCCCAGCCTTCACTTGAGGCTGGCCACCTGCGAGACACCTGACTTTACCCCAGTGTCCTCACATGCCTAGGGTGCCACAGCAGTCCCATGCCCCAGGGCTTCCCTCAAGGCTCCACAGGAATGAGGGAGCGCGCTGAACTGGGGCTCAGGTACTGCGTGGACAGGCGGGACCTGTCTGCCAGGACCTGACCCACACCGGCTGGGCCGTGGTGAGGAAAGCACTCGCCCTGGCGTGAGCTCTGCGGCCCCCCGTCCTGGCTATTCCGAGTTCAGTCAGAGCCCAGTAACCCTCCGTAACGTACGGAGAGCCTCTTTCCACAGGCACAGTCCTCGGGGGCTGCGCTGGCAGTTCTAGCAGTGTCTCTCCCGTATCTTCCCGACCCCCATAATCTACTTTTACTCCTGCTTTAGAGACAGGGTCTCGCTATGCAGTTCAAGCTGGCCTCGAACTCATTCTGTAGCCCAGGCTGGCCTCAAACTCGCAGCAATCCTCCTGCCTCAGCCCTGAGTGCTGAGATTACAGGCGTGCACCACCATGCCTCGCACGATCAATCTTTCAGAGAAGCAGTTAGAGGCCACCCACCATTCCCAAACCCCCTCGGCCAGGAGCACACACCAGGAGCATGAGCGGCCAGGCACGGGTGACTTACGTGGAATCCGGTTCGTACTTCAGCACAACGCTTCCCTTTGCTGGAAGAGAAACACACACATTTGCAAAGCCCTCTGGGCGGTCATCCCAGCTGCTAAGCACGATCACAGGCAGTGCTGTGTGGAGGCAGAAGACAGAGCACGAGACCCCGCACAGCCTGGCACATGGAGCTGACACTGGGACACAGAGGCCTGCACTAAGCCACTGGTGGCATGGTAGCGACACCAGCCTGCCAGGCCTCTCCCGAGCAGGGAGGCTGGGAAGTAAGGACTGGCTCCCTCTCAGACTCAAAATTCCATCAATGACAGCCTCAATTCCTAGAAACATGTTACCCTGCAACTGGCGAACCGTGGGACTGAGGGAAGACACTACCTCATCCGCAAGCAGACCTCTCCTCCCGTTGCACTCCCGCTCAGGAGGATGGAGACAGCAGCTCCTGTGGCACAGCACCCTGTCTGCCACAGGCCTGCAGTTCACAGCCGAGCCAGGCCATCAGGCAACCATAGGCCCCACTGTGCCCATTCCATCAAATGCAACCTAGCGCTCTGAAGGATCAGTGACCCGGACACAGCAGCCGGGCTCACTGGCTCAGGAGCAGGCTCAAAGGCTGTGCAGACTCCAGTGGGCTGCTCAGTGGCACCAGCGCTTTGCCAGGGCCAGAGCAACCCTAGAGGCACCTTTGACACCTAGTGTGTGGAAAGGTCAATCACAGAGTGGGCATCCAAGGCCCCCGCGGGTACCCGGATGCCAAGTGCTTTATGTATAGCAGCACAGGGTCCACCCCAGAATTCCGCAGCTTCCCAGCACTCCAGGGCATCTCTAAACCCCTCCGAGTCCTACAGGACAGGACTGGAAAACACGCCAGTGCCAGAAACACTGCAGTCCTCATCCACAGAGAAGAACAAAGCACTGCAGCCCCGATGCTCACCCATGTCCTTGGCTTGGCTGTACGTCTCCACGCTGAGTTTTCTAAAAAATGGGTTCTCCTGGGTCAATAGAATCTTAACGTCTTCCATGGACACGGTAATAATTCGTGAATTAATAAATGGATATAACGTATATATCCCCTGTGGGAATAAAGACACCACCAGCTGCCACACAGGAGCGACATCTCCTCCCCTCGCAGGGCTTTCCAGCTTTGGGACAGCCCTCGCCTGGGCACTCTGTCAGGGCAGGAGCTCAAGGACCCTGCTCAGCCCAGTGGCAGCAAGGGGGCACTGGCACTCACTCCCAGGATGGTGGCTGGCGCTGCCCAAGCCTGTACCTATAATTACCTCCTGTGCCAACCGGAAAGCACAATCAAAGTCTTCACCACTGCTGTTTCGACACCAGACTTTTATCCCTGTGTTAATAACCTGTAAGAAAAACCGCCCAGAGAACACACAATTCAGGCCGGTGAGGGTCATCTCCGTGCAGGCAGCAAGGCTGCAGGAGCAGCTTCGAAGGCGCAGTGGGGGCCGAGGCCTCATCACAGCAGGGGCTCCGAGGGCACCCGAGCATGCAGCTCACACAAGGAAGCACCAGAGCGGACAGGAAGCCTGGGACCCTGGGTGCAAGGCTAGGTCAGCGCTCGATCCACCAGCCACCGAGGCACAGAGCTGCCCTCTGAGACAGCAGTGTGACCAAGCCCAATCCATGCCTCGGTGGCCCCAGAGTGCTCGGCAACCTGCTATGTGACAGACGAGAACAGGGGACAGGCACCAGAGGCCTGAGGGCTGAGGGCCAAGGGCAAGGGGCGGGGCCCAAAAGCAGGAAGGGCTGCAGGAACCCAGTGCATTGGGTCCTGGGGGCGTCACCCCATCCCCACCCAAGTCCTGCATGCACCCACAGACCGCAGCCTGGCACCAGGGCGCACACCTTCATCCTCTCGCTGTTGTTCAGCAGCACGTTCCGCAGCTCCTTGGACACCATGTAGAGCTGCCTCTTCTTGCCCTCCGTGGTCCGGGTCAGCAGATTCATCCTTGGGAACGAGGGGCCCAGCGCGTAGAACTTCCTGGGGACGGGGCGTTGCTGTGACACGTTCCCTCAGAGCTCGGCTGCTGCTCTGCACTCTGCATTCCTGAGCCGCCGCAGGCTCTGTGAGGACCCCCACCTGCCAGCTCCTCTACCTTCACCCCGCCTCCAGGCAGCATGCACGGGGCGCAACCAGGTCAAGGCCTCTGCTAACCCCGGCAGCTCCCTTCCCTCAACTCCTCTCCGACAAGGACCTGAGGCACCACTTATGAACGCACCCACACAGGGCCAGTTACGCAGCAGGCAGGAGTGACCACGCTCAGCATGGACACTGGCGTTTTGTTTTGAGGAGGAAGACACCTGAGGCTGCCACCCTGAGCTGCTCCCTCTCCCCCTACCCTGTCCCTGGGGGAGCACAGGGCACCTCAGCCATCGCCTCCCAGCTTACCTGGGCAGCTATGAGCAGGGACATGACACTTTCTCCCCTCCCATCTCTACCTCCGCGCCTCCTGGTCCCGTGAAGGCTGAGCACGCAACTCTGAAGCCTCCCCGGCCGGACACAGGGTTCAAAGGTGGGGAACCCGTGCACGGCTGAACTCTAAAGGATGGCTCGGCGGGACGGTGCTTACTCAATGGGCGGGAAGAGCGGGTCGTCTTCGGGGATAAACACAAATGGGTCTTCCTTAAACCCGAACAACTTCATCTTCTTTGATGGAGGAGGACTAGGGGGATGGGACAGCAGGAAGGGTGTGGCTGACAGGGTAGTAAAGCACCCACCCCTCCAGAGCAGGGCCCTCACCATGCGGCTCTCCATGGTCCCCGCCGGGTCAGCTCTTCCCTTGGTCTGGCGAGGTGCCCGCCTGCCCGCAGCTGGCCCTCTTCTCCTTACCCGCACACACCGTCCTTCTTGTCATCACTGTTCTCTGAGTGCTCTGCTGCCTGCGGGACCTCTGCGTCGCCGGTCCCTGAGGCCGCCTGACCATCCAGCTCGGAGGCATCACCAGGAGTCCCTTCCATGGGAGCTTCAGGGCTCAATGCTGTGGCTTCTCTGCCCGCTGCAGGTGTCCCCTGGACCTGTCATGGGGAGCAAGGCATTCACAGATAAGTGCCGCTCAACCCCTCCCTGCTGGGCAGGCGAGGACAGGAGGCCAGAACCGTGCAAAAGCAGCCCTGGGCACCTCTGCTCACAAGGACAGAGGCTACGGCATGCTCGGGCCCTGAGAGATCTAAGAGGCCCAGCAGGTGCAAAGTGAGGGGGCAAGGCCTGGCCCCCAGCACGCGGCATCAGGAGGAGGACAAGAAGTCTCAGGTTAGGACTGCAGCGTCACTGAGCCTGGCCTGAGTATTCACGAGACGCTGGACTGCAGAGCTGGGGTGCAGCTCACTCCTAGCGTGAGCAAGGCCCTAGGCTCCAGTGTGCACACATACTTCTAAACTGGACCCTGTCCCTCAGGTCACTAGACTGGTGCAAGCAGCAATTCTAGTTTCTGTGAAACCTGTGTCTTGAGCTTCACTTGCTTCGCGGTTCGGGGATGCTGGCTGCAGTCACGTTTGTGCACAGAGGCAAGATTCTGCTCCACGTTGCTTTTGAAAACCAAGTTATCTGTACATGGAAGCATTCGCCAACCAAGGCCGCACTCTAAGTTTATAAAGCAGGACACTCCTGTCCTGTGAGGACAAGCTCCGTATTTTCCGCAGTGTCACACAACTACCAAGCCCCAAGTCCAAGTCACCTGTAACACTGCTAGAAAGAGCACAGCCACCCTGGTGCACAAGTCACCTGCAACACTACCAGCGAGAGCACAGCCAACCCGGTGCATGGTGCATGGCGCATGCGCACTCAGTATGTGCTGCTGAGGGCCCCCTCCCCTCCTCCCTCAGGCCCTGAAAGGCGCCTGTCTCCGAGTCCTCCTGGGGCCACTCCCCACTGTGCCTCAGCAGCTGCTTTCTGGCTGCCTTGCAAAACCAACGGCACAGGGTCTGCAAGAGCTCAGGCCTCCTGGTGCCTGACTGGGTGCCAGTCAGGCCATGCTCTGGACCAGAGTCAGCAGACCCACAACAGAAACAGGAGCGAAGAGCTGGCAGTTAACTCCACAAATGATAAGGAGCCATTCTATAAAATAAGATAACTCCTGGGGCAGACTGGGAGACAGTCAAAACCCAATCACACAGGGGTCACCACTAGGCTGGACCTTGTCAGCCTGACCGGCCTCAGCACTACCAGGGGGCTGACAGAGCAGTCGGAAGCCGAAACCCAAAGCAGGAACCAGGGACCGAATCCCCTGGAGCCAGGAGCTAAATGAAACCTTTCCTCCTGGAAGGAGCAGGTTCTGGGCACTGCACTTCAGCAAACAAAAAGCTGGTGGCACAGGAAGGGGCGGGAGAAAATCGTCAGGAAAGCTCAAGTACAAGGAGATCACAGCACACAGACGGGCAGGCTCTCACCTCCTGCAGAGAAGCCCGCTGTGAGGTGGCCCGTGCCAGGCAGGATGGGGTGCGCCAGGCGAGCCACGTGCACCTGAGACTGCAACAGAGCTCAGTGGTACAGCCCGCTCTGGGCACGCACGAGGGCCTCGTTTCAATTTCTAGCACCAAATTATGAATGAACAGTTCTTCTTGTTAAAATGCTCTACCAACAAACACAAAGGCTGGTTCAAGAGTCTCCTACATTGCTTGAAAATAAAATTTTCAGTACCCTGAGATAAGTAACATTAAAACTGACTTCACTCTTCCTGTGCAGCTGCCAGGACGCAGGTCACACACAGGGCTGGCACCCTGATCCCACGGGCAACACAGCACTGAGCACCTACAGCTCAGCTCTGCGACTGAGCTGGGACTCGCAGAGGAAGACCATGCAGACTCACCTGGTGAAGCCCTTCCTGACCTCGAGGGCAGTGCTAGGCCTTACCAGTGGGTGGGAGAGCCAGCTGTGCCTCCCAGGAAACCACTGTCCCTATCCACAGGCAAAGTGTCCCAGCCCCCATTCTCAGGTCTTTGCACCAGCCACAGACCCTTCACGGGGCTGACTCACACTGGAAGGGCAGTGGCAGCACGGACGGGGGAGTGCCCCCTGCGCTTCCAGGTGGCCCTCGAAGAAGGGGGGCTGGGCTGCCCCCTCGTCACACCAGGCCAGGCGGCATCGTAGAACAGGCCTGGTGAAGCCTTCCTGGTGCCTGGGGTCAAGGTGACAAAGGCTGCCAAGCCCTGGAGCGCCTGGTCCTGAGGACGCAGGCAGACGGAAATCAATCTGCGGGTACTGGAGCAGAGGCTGGGGTATCAGAGCCCCCAGGCCAAGCTTTGCATCTCGATGGCTATTAAATAACCAGATGGAACACACAAGTGGAATTCACTGCTTGGACACTGGCTTTTCTACCACCCGTCCCCAGTGTCAAACGTCTGCTTGCAGGAAAACTCGAAACCTAAACAGCCCAATTGCTCAGGCTCAGCCCTCTTCAGCACCTGCTGACTGCTCACTGTGCCCTACAGATGAGAAAAGCCCAAGCGCTCCGCATCCGCTCCGGGATAAAGCCTTACCTTAGGCTGACGCTTATTCCACGGCATCGGAGACTTCTTCACCAGGACGGCCACGAAGAAGCCGCCGGTGTTCTGATGGTGCGGCAGTATCCTAAGGCTAGGAGGACAGGCACAGGGCACACCTTGTCAAGGGGACCAATGGGCCTGTTCAGTGTTAGGAGGCCCACAGAGTGGGCTGCAGGGTCAGGTCCTCAGGCAAATCCCTAAGCAGCCGCCACGCACCACACGCTGCAGCAGCGACCAGGGAGCAGGTGCGTCCTGCCAGCTGGAAGCCCCACACAGCGGTGGCCTTGGAACAGCCAGCCCGTGTCCCCGCTGCCTGTCTTCCTCCCGACAGAGCCCACTGGCCACCACAGCCAGGCCCCCACAAACCGTGTCACGCCCAAACTCACCAGCGCTCCAGGTGCATCGCCTGTAACTTTTCGGGGTCCTTTGGCGGGAACATGGTGGGCCGGATTTGGGTGTGCCTGCTGCGGGGAACCTCGTCCCAGTCAGCAAACCACTGTCCCTCTCTTGTCATCACCTGCAGGCCACACGGTGGGCATCACCAAGATGCCACCACCAAGGTGGGCCTGTCCCCAGCCCCTCGGCTGGAGGAGCACTCTGCACCACCCTCGGGCCTCGCCCTGCCTGCTGCACAGTGGAGGCGGCAGAAGGGCTTCAGAAACCAGGCCCGCCATGGGGACGCTTTTTTTTCATGGACTGTTTTTTGTTTTTAAAGCAACTACTGGGTTCTATCTGGACTGAAAGTGTAAACTGAACTGTTTTATGTGGGGAATGAAGCCAGACCCTTAAAACACCAAGCAGCGTACTTAAGGAAATAAGAACAAAGCTGGTTTCTGTAAGTGAGATAAAAGCAAAAAAGTTTACCACTGCCAGAGAAAAGCAGGGACAGCTGTAAACCGTGCAGCCGAGCAGCACCGGCTCACAGCACCCACACGGGACCGCTCACACCTGTGACAGCCCCAGGTCTGTCCCCAGCCCATTTCTCAGAAACCGGGTCCTGTCACAGGATTACCTTCCACTGCATGAGTCCAGGCATTCGCTTCAGCCCCGGCAGCTCAGCAGACACATCGGCAAGCTCCAGAGCGCCTACTCAGAAAGGAAAAAACCCGAGGGATGGCACACTATGCCCAGTGAAGGACACCAGAAACAAAAGGGCTCACCCTGCAGCCGTCCACTGACAGAAGTACCCAGAGAGGCAGCGCCACTGACTGCGAGGACAGCAGCAGCCAGGTGGGAAGGGACACATGGATCAGCTCTCCTGTGGCGGGGTGTCGAGCACAGACAGGGGCTCAGCGGAAAATACGACCTCAGGGAAACTACGGCTCAACCAAGCCACTGAAATATACGAGTGTTGGGAGAGTCCCTCGATGAACACAAAACTAACACCACAGAGCTGCACCTGTGCACCACGAGACCCAGGCCAGGACTCAGTGCTATTCCAGACACCTGCTCTAGACACATTCTGCTCAGACAGGTGAGGTCCCCCTGCCTGTGTGAGTGACAAACACCCAGGAAAACAGCAACAGAAGCTGGACAGGGAGCTAGGAAACCCTGGCATCAGCTCCTACCCGCAGGCCTCCCACAGAAGGGACAGTTTCCCAGGGAAGGCCAATCCAACAATGCTCTGCAAGCAGCCGTGAGGAATCTGAGCAGGTAAAAGTGAAGGTGGTGGGGTGGGGAAGAAACCTTTCGCATGGCATCTTCCTGACTTCTGCTATCATTTCTCAGTTTTCCATTAAAGTTAGCACCAAACCACAGCATCGGCACCTCCAAACTGTCCTGTCCACGGGCTTCACCAGTGACCTCGCTGATCTGTCACCTCCAAGCTCAGCCACTGCCCTTCCTCCCTCTAGGTGGGGTTTGCAGCAGTCTCAGGTGGGGACTGAGCCCCTCCTGCACAATGCCCTGTCCATGCCCTGTGTCTGACACAAGTAAAACTTCCCACAGGGGAAAATCTTAAAAATAAACCAGAATGACACGGATCTGCCATGATCCCCCTATTAGGACAAACAAAACAAGCAAACCTTCTGTTGGCAAATTCCTGCCTTTCAAATGTCCCACACAACATGAGAGACCTACCATGTAAGTGTGCTTTTGCCTAGGACACCTCATTCGCATTATGGTTGCAGGGTTAACATACAAGCCGAGTTCCAGAAGGGCTGCGGGGCCATATTGCATGCGTATACACACACACACACACACACACACACACACACACACACACACACGAGATCCCCAAGAGCTCACGCAGCCTGCTCACCTTCACTTTTCTCCAGCAGTGATGCAATAACGGCCTCGTCCTCAATGGGGTTCAGGGAGCATGTGGAGTACACCATGCGCCCCCCTTCCGCCAGCTGCTCAGCGCCACGTGTCACGATCCGCAGCTGTAAGCTAAGGGCAGGCACGGTGACCTGGGGCTGAATGCATCCACTCAGCACACAGGTTTACAGGCACCGATTCGTTACAGCTTTGACACACTCAAAAGCGTCAAGCCTGGTAATAAGCTTAGCACCAACCATAAGACTGCCCTGTGCTGGTCCGGAAGCCTCTGTTACACGAATGCCTGTGTTCTGCTACCCTGCCAACACATCACTGGCAACCAAATCCAAAATCACATGCGTTTCACATCAAATGTGAATTTTCCATAAGATGTCTGTGTCCCTTCCCGTAATCCAATCCTAGCACTTGCTTTCCTTCTACAGAAAGTGGTCATATCAAAATCTCCTGCTCAAGTCCCTTGCGGTGACTTTTCATCAGCACGTGTTAGGGACCCACAGCTCTAGCCGGGAGCACAGAAAAAGCACGTGGTGCTGTGCAGACAGCCACCGAGCTGCCCCAGTACGTGGCTAGGATCTCTGCGCAGAAGCAATCCACCACCACACACAGCAGGAGCTGCGGCTCAAAGTGAGATTCAGCTTGTACCTCCTTTAAGAATTTTCCAAATTTTCTTTAATCAGTATTTTCCTGATAAATACCATCCAACACTATTCTGAAGGGTCAAAAGCTTAAGCAAATTAGTACCACAGAGGAAAAAAAAATGAAGAGAAAAGAAAGATTCCTTGAGATATGAAGAAAATGGTCCTGTCATGGGAAAATGTTTGCAGTACTAGGAGAAATGGTTATTAAAGAATTTTTATGATAAATGTGTATCTTAAAGTCGTAATTTACAGTTAGTGCTCTTGAAAGGTTTTAAAAACAACTTCTGTCCTAGAAGCTAACCCTCAGCAGGTCCCTGCTAGCTGTCACTCTGGGTGCCCAGTGCCAGCCCGAAGGCCTGGAGGCCGAGCTGCACTGTTTACCAGCGCCCCTCTGCCACCAGCCGAGCCCAGCACGGGACCTCGGTCCCTTACCCGTGCAGCTGCAGACTGTTCAAGGTGCTCCACTTCTTCCAGACATCGATGTTCTTCCGCAGGGTGCCGTCCCCACTGGGAAGAAGATAGTAAACTTGGAACCACACAGCACACCACACCCTACTGGTGTGCGGACAGGTGGGACTATCAATTCCAGCTAGAAAATGCTCTAAATTCTACAGTCTTCTATTTGAGAGGAACTCTTTAACATTTTATTTTACGTTTAACATCTCACTCATCTCCTGAAGAGAGTAATTTGCATTCATTTGGGAGAAACACAGCTCAAGTATCCTGTACCCCAAATGCTTGGGGCAGAAGAGCTCTGGGGCTCCTCCAGGTCCTGAACTCATACGCACATGTGACGAGCTACCCTGTGTGACAGCCAAGCCTGAACACGCGGAGCATCTGTGGTACACGCCTTCCAGGCACAGCTCGAAGGCGACCCTGCAGAGCACTTCCAAGATGTCTGTGTTTAGGTGCAAAGCACTGTGTGAGACGAGGGGTGGGATTTCCACCTGTGCTATGAGGACAGCGCTCACAGGTTCCGACTCTGGAGTACTCTGAACGTCACAGCGGGATGCTAAGCCTGCACCGGCAGAACTGGCACGCAGACTTAGGACACAGAGCCGTGACTCCAGCTACTTAATGAGCCTTGATCAGCAACGACAGCTGAATCAAAACTAAATGAGTAACGATACACTTATACTCAAAAGGTTTTTCCACAGCAATTTCAATTAGGCCAAATTAATTCCATTACTACATCCTATGATCACAGTGAAAGATTTCCCACTTTCTATTTTTAGTTTAAGGAAAATCAGCTTCACTTTTCATTAACGGAAGTAATTTCCATGTATGTTCTAAAACACAGCCTTGACTCGGAATCTTCTGTCCATGTCCAATTACATCCACCCAGTTTTCCCAGGGTTTATTCTTGCCTCTGCTGATGTCTCTTTCAAGTTTAATGTCCCTCAGGCTCAGTCTGCTTGAACTCCAAAGGATGGTGACCACCCACAAGACAATTCCTATTTCCAGATGACACCCCAAGGTGAAAGCTGAGCACTCGGACAGTGGAAGCTCCATGGTAACTTCAGGAATTTCTGAAGCTGACCACCAACTGCTCATAAGGTCACTCTATTCTCAGAATATGATACAAGGGATAAATTCCACATCAGAACAAGAACACAAAGATGGGCAAACAGGGTGACGGAGAGAACCACACTTGGAAAAAGGAACCGAGCTTATGACTTACTTGCTAAGTTTCACCTGCTGCATCGCAGCTATTTAAAGTGGCCCATTTCATTTAAGGTGCTCTAAACTGCATTCTGCACAGGGCTTACCAGGCACTGAAACGCAGCCCACGTCAGTGCTTCTGGTTTAAGTTCTAAACAGAGCTCTGGCGTAGCAGTGACTCTCGCCCAGCCTAAGGACGAGGCAGTGGCACAACACTGAGCCCTGGCCTATCGTGGCGGGTACATGGCTGCACCAGCAGGGCTGTGCCAGAAGCCACGTGGAGGTGCCGGCTCCTGCCACACAGCCTCACTGTAACACGGACACTTTACGCAACAGCTGCACTTATTGTGGAAAATCTGAAGATCAGCATGGAGCAGGCATTACTCGGAGGTTTGAACTCCTACATTTCTTTCACTGTGTAACACAAACTCAGCAGGCAAAGCTGATGTGACTGTATTACTTTACAGCAAAGTCTTCACAGAAATACTTGGGGTGCAAAAGCAGTGTTGGGGTGTGAGCGAGAGCGAGAGCTTGAGACCGAACCGTCCGCTCGCTTCCCTTTTAAAGACTGCTCGCCAGCACCACCCTTCTCACTACCTCTCGCTTTGTATCCAGCATCAGGCAGAGCCGATTCACCCACACACTGTCCAGCTTCTCCCTGAGGCTCAGGACCTCTCTCCACGGCCACAGTCACGGTCACAAGAGTCGTGTGGCCCCCATGCGTGCTCATGTGCAGCTGCGTTTGGGCCCACATAGGACCTGACTCCTTAGGGCTACTGCGCTGTCTGGTCTCTTAACATAAATACCTGCAAGGCACATCGCATAAAATGCGGTCGTAGAAGAGGACCTCCTTCCTGCCGTCCACATCCACGGTGAGCCGCGGGATACAGGACGCGTCGTGGTTCACCACCATGATGCAGGGGCTGCTGAGCCGCTTGGCCTGGTGCACGAGCAGGTAGCAGCGCTTGTTGTCCACGTCATTGGCTATCACGAAGCCCTCTGGGGACATAAAATTGTACCCTCAGGAGAGACGCAGCACAGTGCATTTCCTTAAACACACAACCTCTAGGCTGGCAGGTGAGACCCGAAATTCACCAAACGTAAAACCTTAGGTGGAGATTTTTCTAGAAAAACACAGGTGTCCCCAAAAAGGAGATGGGGGACTTTTCATAGATTTTACATGTATCTGAACATCTCAAAACTTCAAGAGTCCTCCATTCAGCAATGATCGACTTGGTACTGACAGTGTCTTTCCTGGGAGTAGAAAGGGACTAGAAAGGGACTAGAGGAAGGCGAGGGAAAAGGTGCAGAGGACAGCAGGGCCACCTCAAGTGTCACGGCACTGCTCAGAGCCGAGCTCTGCTCTGTCCCCAGAGCCGGCTGTGCTCGGAGCACCTGGATGGGCGGACAAGCTGCTCTGAGGACAGACACACTGCTGGGTCACCAGGCCGCGAGCCAGCGTGGGTCCTGGGCGCTGTCCTGGCACTCTGCACCCTCTCCAAAGCCCGGCAGGAAGGTGGACATGCCTCACAATGCTTATGACAACAGGATCATTTTGCAAGACCACGCAAAGAGCAAAACCTCAGTAATGTGAAGAGGGGATTCTGTATCTGCTGACACGACCCAGGTTCTTTGCTACCAGTTTTAACCAGGAAGGAAAAACGCTTGTTAGTAAGAACATCCCTGAACAAGGCAAGAGGACTGACACTCACATAGCCAGCAAACATGCCCCCTGAAACAGCCCAGGACCGCTGGCTCACAGAAGGAGAGGGAGACAACACTGACAATAATAAACACGTCCTAAGGGCACAGGCGACACCGCAGCAGTAGGTGCCTGACCCCAGAACTCCTCTGCCGCCCTGTGATGCCCATGCTGCCTGTGCCTAGCCTGTGAGGTGGTTGGAGAGCACTCAGCCCACAGCCCTACAGAACCCAGCAACACACAGCAGCAGGGACCCAAACCGTCCCTACCTGACTTGAAGCCGTGACACCTGTGTACTATCAGGAGACCTGAACCCCTGCCATAAATAAAAAAGTGTTTATGGAAAATAAAAAGATAAAGTATTCCCGCTGCACGAATGTGCTGCTTGAGAACTCCTGACTACAAAATGGTCTGGCTCTAACTTTGGGAAACAGAAAACCCACACGTTTGTCCCGAGAGCAGGTCTTCCCCACCCCAGCCTCCAGCGAGTACCTGGGAAGGGGACATTCATGTCAGCGTGCAGCATTTCGATCAACTGTGCGGTCTTGGATCCAGGAGCTGCACACATGTCTAAGATCTAAAAGCAAAGGAAGAACACGTTTGACATTTATTAAAAATCGAGTATTCCACATCTAATATATAATGACTTCATGAGGAACTCATGTTCTGATCGCCATCCCAGGCCCACCACACATTTCTTCACGGGGTGATATCTGGAGGACATCACACTGCTTTAGGGACCCCGTGGTGGCTGGTAGTCGGCAAAGAAATAGCCCCTAACGGACACAGGCAGGGTCTCTAGCCCAGAGGGAGACAGAATGACACTGGAATCCCACCACACACTGCAGTCACTGACAGACTGCTAACAGCTCAACACCCATGACAGAGCTTGGCAGCCCGTAACTCTCCATCAGACACTCTCTCCCCTGCTCTGGAAAAGTGAGACAGAGCTTCGAGAGGGGCACAGGGATGAGAAAAGAAAGCGATGCACTAAACAGCACTCATGGTGCTTGGCATACGATAAGTTCACATTAGGATTTGCAGCGTGATTTGGCAGAGTTTGCTAAAGGTATCTGCATAGTAAGCCCATTAAACACTTACACAGTAAAAAACAGTACTACCAATCATCAAAAGTAAGTAGGACGGAAGTAAAAGAACCTGCCATAATACTCGTACCATTCTCATTCAAAAAGGGCAGTTCCCGTTAAAAGGTTACAAAGAACGCATCACACAGCAGGACCCCGACAATGACTGACTCCCCGGCCTGTCCCATGCGCTACCTTGTGATGTGGCTGGACGTCCAGCAGCAGCGGTGGGATCATGCTCACAGTCTCTTGGCGGCTGATATTTCCCTTGGAGGAGAAAATCAACGATGAAACAAATGGCAGAACATTTCAGCAATAGGCATTCAAACATCAAATGCAATAGGAAAAGATTGCGTAATTTTACACAGAAGCAAGGCTGTACAATCATGTAAAACAGATTCCTAGGTTGGTGGGTAAATGGTTGCTATCTACAGGCCAACAGCAAAATGTGCCACAAAAATACCCGTAGCCCGGGGTAACACTGAGGCCCATCCCCTCCTTTCCAGGTCTGGGCGAGCAGCTCTCCAGGGTGGACCCACCTACAAAACACCCCTGGCAAGAGGGGGGCATCAGACACAGCCACCGTCAGGCTGCCTCCTCCCAGGCCAAGTCTAAGTCCTCCTGCTTGGTCTGGCCTTGCTTTCCGCTCCTCACCGCTGCCCTTCAGAGAACACACCAGCCACCGATCTGTCTTCATTATCTGGATGACCAACTCCCATGCACCCTCCCTGTCCCTGTCCTGCATCTCCTCCACTGCAGAGAACAATCACATGCAGACCCCCCCACAATGGCCCAGAAGCCATGCAGGCTCCCCACAACCCCTGCTCCACGTCACCTGGACATCAGTGTCCAAGCTGCAGCCAGGAAGCCCTCACTGTCTTAAACATAGGCATCTGACAGTCCACACATACACCCCAACCTCAACCGCTAATTTCGCTCACAGGTTTGAGGCCAGCCTTGTGTCCACGGGACGAGCTGAATCTCAGCCTGGCTCTTGAAAGCTTCCCGTGCACCACACCAGTCCTCCACTTCTCATGACCTGTCTGCTTGTCCTCACTGTCAGCCCACCCAGGTTGAGGGCTGAGCATGGGCACCTCGCACAAACAGGCCACATGGCGGAGCTCAGCTCTGGCTCTCATCAGGGAAGTGAAGCCAGACTTCACATGTGGCTGCCCAGACCGAGAGCCATGCGAGCTAGCAGAGAGCAGCGGGACCAGCGTGGAAATCAGAACCGAGAGAGGCGACCCACTTCCCTGGCTAACACTTCAGGGAAGAAATCTGGGAAGCATGCTATTTCTGTAAGCTCACTGTGAGAGGGCAAAGAGCAAGCCCGGAACACAGAGGCTCACCTGGCTACACGGGGGCAGGCTGGGAAAGGAAGGAGGAAGCTGCTGCCTAAGAAGAGGACACTGACAGTCCCCAAAGAATAAAAAGCGGACAGCAAAGGGCAGGAACTGCCCGCTGTGCGGGCCTTTGCGCAGCTCTTCCTGGTGGGAGGAAGAGCGGCTCTGTGGGAGGGTGTGAGGCTGCAGTGCCTCAGCGTGGAGGGAGGTCGGGGTGCAGGAGGAGAATGGGTCTCACGGCCAGAGCCGCCCCGTGTCCAGGTGCTTTGTGATTCCTGGCAAAGGCACCGCACACGCGCACCGCGTGGGAAGGAGATGATGAAGAAATGAAAAGCTATTTTTAGTAAAATAAATTGCTCTAAAGGTCCTGTATTGTGGCCTTAAAAACCTATCACCTGCACGTACAGCAGAGAACAGCTGAGAAGGGAATGGCCCAGTCCACATGCTCCCAACCTCAGATGGGACAGCCATACAAAGTGACAGGGTAGGTGCGGGTGCCTCATTGGACCTGTGCACCCCACAAGCACTGCAGGAACCCACGCAAAGCAGCTCTGTGCACAGCGCTGTGCAGAGACCAACAACCCCATGACGTCTACTTACAGATTCAGTTTCGCTAACCAGGAACTGATGAAACCTTTCCAGCTGGGGGGACTTTCTCAAGATTTTTCGACTTAAATTTGTGTGCCAGGCAAGTTCTTCAGGATACCTGACCAAAAAAAAAATTAAACGTTTATGGATCATTACCTACCTGAGTGGTCTCATGACAACATGGAACATGGTGCCAGATGAGACGGCTGACCAGGCCGCCCCACCTGCTCACACCCAGGCTCCAGGCCACAGGCCAGCAAGATGCGGACAGCTGTCGGGACATACAAATCACACAGGTACGATGCTGCCATAAAACTGGAACTGTAAAGCCAGGAAGCGGAGACGCCGGTGCAGAGGTCAGGGGAAGAAAACGTCTAAGAAGGATGAGTTAAGCACACAGGTTGTGAAGAATCAGACCAGAGCGAGCAGGCACTCGTATTTCCTGCATACATCTGATAAACAATCTTAAAACCCACTGAAAACTGCGAACCTGGACACTGCCAATGCACAGATCTGAACTCCTGCCTTCACTGTGTGCATGTTCAATTAAACACAAAATTAAAAAGCTTGTGTGTTAAGCAGGTTTCAAACAGCTTCATCTTTTTTAAGCCAACTAATTTAAGATCTTGGTAGATTATAACATAATTTTAAAAAACTGCATTTTAATTACTTAATGAATCTTTCAAGAAAAAGGCTGATTTGGACTTGCTTAAGCACCAGTGTACATCAAACATTTTCAAGTGACTCCCTGCATCATCTGTAACCCAGACATCAGAAAGTACGCAATGAAACAGAGGCAAGACAAGCAAGGTCTCAGGGCAACTCTCCACTGGAGCGCCGCAGACAACTGGAGAGAAAGGTGAGGCCGACATGTAACGCTCCCGCTCGAAAACACACTTCTGACTGTACTAAAGGGCCAGAAGAACATTCTATGATCTACTTCTTCATTTTGAACAGAGAAAAACTGCCAGAAGTTCTGAAAAGTTTCTGCTGATATTTATGAGCATCCCACAGGTGATAAGGAAAGCTAAATGTTTACAGAATCAAAGTGTCAAGAAAACTTCCACTCATACACACCAACGAAATGAGTACAGGAGCCCAAATCATTCAGTGTTTTCTTTATACCCTTCAACTTTTAGCTCTATGTTCAGAAATAAATGTATGTAATGTAACCACATGTGACAAGCTGGAACAGTAACGACAAATGTTTAAAAGGCTGAGCACAATGAGAGTTAGAGCACAGTTTGCAAAGAACAATGAACAGTGAGATTCATTAACCACCTGTGGCTTCTCAGCTTTTTGGAACCTGCAGAAGAAAATGACTACACTCATGGCGAGGACCGGAAGACCAAGATCCCCTCATCCTCCAAGCCTTCCTTGCTCCATTACACTTCTAGACCCAAGCTTTGAAGAACAATCATTTTCAGATAAAATCTGAAGCAGCAAATCCATGCACAACTAAAATGTCAGCCTCTACTTGAAGCGATGCAGGAGTAATACAGCCATCAATCAGATCTCCACAGCAAGGTAGTAAGGAGTAGACTTCTATGGACAAGTCACCAAGACATAGAAAAGTGGAGTTCCCTGAAGGCCACCTCAACTCCGAAATGCCAGACCCACGGCAACTGAGGAACATCTTTCTTCTCATAGGCCCTCAGCACTGTGGACACGCAATTAGTGACACCAAGAGCGACCCAGCATCTGAGTCACACTCCAGTGCTGCGCCCTTCAAGCTTTTAAAATACGACTATACTGCAGTCTGTGCTGGCAAACAGGGGACATAACCCACAGGAGACTGTGGCAGCCCTCTGTCTGGCTGCATCTCATTTTTCTAAAGGTAAAGATGACCCTCTGCAACAGTTCTGATGTGAAGAAACAAGGGCTGTATGGAGATGGAAATGGCAGAAGTCACAGTGCCAAGGAGGAAAGAGGCTGCACCTACAAGAACAAAAACTGGACCATGTGAATGAAATACAGAGAGCAGGGAAGTCCTGTATGGAAACCTGCGTATCACTGTGAACTCATGCAAGTCCTGGGTGAAAGAACATCAGGACGTCTGGTTAAGTACCTTTAGGTTCTCTCACAAAAACGGCAAATCAAATGTGGAAAATAAAAACACACAAGGGAGAAAAAAACCTGAGGAAACATCCAGCATGAAGTATTGGGTTACCTACCAACTCAGTGGCTGTGGAACTTCAACTTTCTGACCATCCACCTCCAGGTTCTCCAATTCCTTAAAATACTTGTTCTTCAAGCAGTGAAGAATTTCTTTTGCATGGCTATTGAAAAATAAGCGAGTTCACGCCGATCAGAAAAGCTAACTTTAACTTATACTTTTACAAGTGTTCTAAAACTAAACCACCTCTACAAATGTAAAAAAGATGATTACTTTTTACCGTATTTCTATAAATTTAAGCAACCCTCATTGACTAATGCAAGGTAATCTTTCTTAGGTTATGTTTTCATTTCTTATCGGCACCTCCCACCTGCAATGCCTCCCGACCCAGGTCTATTTCACTGGACCCTTGCGCCCCTGCTCGGTGCATCCTAACCCACAGGGGTGAAAGAAAGCAGCTCTACTCCCCACAAGCACCCTGGGCGTTCAGACCCTACCTTTTGTAACCAGTAATTCTCAGAGTGGCCGGGAGGGGCTCCCTGAGAGCGTCCATGAAGCGATCCCACTCGCCCTCGGGCACGATCTTGAGCTCCTGGTAATAGTGCTCGAACAGCTTGTTCTCCTTGACGATCTCAGGGTACCCGCCTTCCCAGCCCTGAGAACGAACGAGATGTCTAGCCAAGGCCCAAGACGGCCCTCCTGGCGCCCCGACCCGCTGCGTCCGGATCCTACCGCCTGGCTGCGCTTCCCTCCGTCCTCGGCTCCGTCCTCCGCGCCCTCCGGCCTCTGCTGCTGCTGCTGCTGCTGGAGCCGCCGGCCCCGCGCCCGCCGCCCCATTGCCCACGCGGCCGCGCACGCTGCGCGCAGACACCGGCCCGCCACAGCCGCAACCCTCGCGGGACTTCCGGCCTGAGTCCGAGGCCCCCGCTGAGGCGGGCCCGGTCCTATCGGGGGCCGCCGGGAGATTTGCCCAAAGTGCCACCACACATGGTCTCGGAAAACGAGCGCGCGAAAAATGAGGCCCACCATGGCGGGAAAACGGCTCTACAGACAATCCCAAAAGCGTGTCCAGACGAAGCGCGCCGCTTCCCACGGGGGCTCAGGCAACTCCATAGACTGCCTAAGCCTGACGCGTGCGCACAGCGGCGTGGGACGCATGGGCGGGGCTTAGCTCCGGCGGGGGATGTGAGGGCGGGGCCAGCCTGCTTGAGCGTGTGGAGAAGGGGCGGGGCGTGGGCCAGGGGCGTGGCATGCACCGCTGCAGGCCGGGCGGGGTCCCGGCTCCTCCCTACGCAGATGTGGGCGTGGTGGGGCGGGGCTCTGGCCGCCGGGTGCTCAGTGATAGGCAGGTGGGCTCCGGCTCCGCAGGCGTGGGCGGGGCTGCCCTAGCGGGTCACTGTCGGTGCGCGCTGTCTCAGGCATCCCAAGTGGGCGTGGGGCGCGGCAGCACGGTGAGCCGGCGGTCAGACCTCCCCCGCCGGCCGCCGCCTGTAAGTGCGCCGCCTGCGGGGCCTGGAGCGCGCTGCCCGGCCTCAGCGATGGAGCCCGGGGAGCTGCGCATGCTGGACGCGCTCGCCTACCTGATGGGCTTCGCGGGCTGTGCGTTTTTCCTTCTGCTCCAGCGCCTCGCGTCGCCCTACGGTCGCTATGCGTCCGAGTGGCCCGGCCCGCGGATCCCCGCGCGCACCGCCTGGGTCCTGCAGGAGCTGCCCGCGCTGGCCTGGCCGCTGCTCGAGTGCGCCTGCGCCGCCGCCCCGCGCCTGGACCGGCTGCCCAACCGCGTGCTGTTGGCTATGTTCGTCGTCCACTACGTGCACAGGTCGGCGGGGCTGCCCGGTGTCCCCGCGTGACCCGGGGACAGCCCGAAGTGGGAGCTGGGGCGGAAAGGGGAACTGATCGGCACCCATCCCGGAGTTGGGCTCTGTGATGAAGACAGGCGCCCAGCGTGGGGCATGGACTGCTGCGAGTCACACTGGGCGTTGTGCGACCTTTCCACTCTGTTGTGTCCCCTTTGCGGGGAGCTTTTCTTCTGGCCGCATGGACCGGTTCCTTTGGGTCTGATTAGTTTCAGAGAGCCCTGGGGCGGTGATTAAAAGCTTTCCAGACAAAGACTTAAACACCAGTGAGTGTTGGCCCAAAGGGTCCATAGGGATGACACTGGCTCAAGGAAAGCCGCGTCGGAGCAGATGACTTTGCAGAGGCTTCACGTGCAAGGTGAAATGTTCTTTGCTAGCTTGTGGTTCTGAGGGAGCCTCCTGTGACCCGTTCTTATTAGCAGACAGTGTCTGTGGTCCCCTATCCTGTGTCCTCCTGGCTGGCTTGGTTGACTTGATTTTTTTTTTTTTTTCTGAGCTTGACAAAGTGACTCCAAGTTGATTCTGAGGACTTTCACAGATATCGTACTAAGTTCATTGAGAGAGCTTGTGATATAGGGGAAACTCTCAACGTAGACTAGGTGTCCAGTACGAGTTCACGTTCTCTAAAATCGAAGAATAAATTTTAGGAATAACTGAGGTTAAGGGCAAAATGTATTTATTGAGAGAAAGAAAGGTTCTGTCTGAGAGAGAGAGACAGATGAGGTCTCAGGAAGGTTGCCAAAGACTGTGTTTTCTAAGGACTTTTGTAGATCCAGGTGAGATGGGTGCAGGGTGGGGAGAAATGGAAAGTCAGAAGGCAAGCGGGCATGAGGTGGTACAGAATTGTGGTCCACCAATAAGGTTATGAATGTAGTTAATCAGGTAAAATTGATTAAATCGGGATCCACTAGGGAAGCGAGTTATGTAGCAAGGGGGTTGGATTAGTAGCTTCTGGCTTCCTCAGGGTGATCAAGGTATCTAGAATTTCAATCCCTGAAGTTTGAGTTTAGGATATACTTGCATTTGTTTTGTCTTTTGTCTGGAGAATCACTGGCAGGAAGTGTTTGTTTTCCCCTTTGGTTGCAAGGTCCTAGTCTTCTGCACTGCCTCCTTCCAGAGCCTAGCCCTGTCTGATGGCCAGTGATAGTTAACTCAGCTGTCTAACTTACCAAACTGGTTTATGCTGGGACTTCCCCCACCTATGAACTGTAGGTTCAGCATGCTTATCAGAGGGCAGCTCCAGTGCACACCAAGCACCGTTCCACCTTGTCCCGTACACGCATACACTTTTGCCCTAGGTATCACCCAGGCACACTGTTACCAGTCACCAGTGCCAACAAAGAAGACACGTGCTGGGACGTAGGAAACACCTCACAGGGCTGTGTGCTGGGCATCCAAGCCCAAGCTTTCTTTCTGGAGACATGGGTTGAATGTACCTGGGCTCACTGGAAGGAAAAGAATGGTGCACACATGCACACACTCCCACACCACTGAGGCTGTGTAGAGAGGAAGAACTTGAATAGAGCAGCATGCAAGTGTGACCTGGGTCTGCCACCCGAGGGACTGCTGGGACTGCGGCCCCTGGTTCCCAGACCAGTGATTGTAAAAACTCCAGGAGGACTTGCTGGCCAGGTGTTGCTTGTAATACACATTGAAGATGCATATTTTGTAAAGCGATATGTGCTACTAAAAGCTCTTGTGGTTGGGAAACACTTAGGTTTTCCAAATGAAAAGATAAATGTTTTCCATTCTGTCTAAGCAATTTATTTATTCAACAGTCATTTGATCTGAAGCAGGTAGTGCTTGGATGAGAACCAGGATGGAAACTGTACTTAATGCCCGTGACCGGCCACCCAGCTGACCCAGCTACCTTTCCCAGGGCTCTGAGGATGTCAGGGAGCCCGTGGGAAGGCTCAGGAGTTGCTGAACAGGCCCTAGGCTGGAGCTTAACAGGGCTTGCAGAGCTGAAGGAGTGGATCCAACCCTGCCCTGGGCTGTGTGCATGCTGTGTGGGATACAGGTCCGGGGCCAGCCTGCAGTTCCCAGAGCGAGTGACAGTCCCAGGATGGGTGAGGAGGGCCAGCACCTGAAGGAGGGACAGAGTCGCCTCCTGTGTGTGTTTATTTACCTGGCTGGTTAGTGGGGGCCAAGGATGGATGTGAGGACATGGGAGCCAGCTAGCAGTGAACCTGCAGCCTGCCTGACCAGGAGGCTGTGATCTGTGTTGAAGCTCAGGCCACCTTGCTCCTGCTGGTTCCCTAGGGAAGGCAGTGTCTTGGAGAGCACAGGGACCTGCGGCTTGGGCAGCATTGGTGCTTATTAGTTTCAGGGCCATCAGCATCCTGTCTGTGCTACAGTCTCCTCTGTTGACCTCTGGAAGTCGGAAGGGTGTCCTATGCCCAGTGTCCTGTGCTCAGTCTTGCAGGCCGGTACAGCTGACTTGTCCCAGGCACCTGCGGTGGGTGTGTCCTCAGGGCCTGTGCTCAGTTGTCTCCATGCATGGGTCCCTGTGCTCTCGGAGGCACCCAGTTCTGAGCTCTGTGGGTACAGCGACGCTGCCTTCCCTGGCCTGCTATGCTTGTCCTCCTCCTCAGTTTTCAGCCTCTGGTCCCCAGCTGCTGTTCTGTCTCCAGGGCTCCCTCCTGGGCCAGAGTCTTAGTCCAGCTCCTCCCCACCAGCGCTGTCACACTGTCACCTGCTGGCTTCTCACACCTCCTCCTGCCTACCCCCTGCTTTCCCCGTAAAAACCTGCTCTGCTGTTATGAGGGCCAGCTCAGGGCTGCTGTGATGCTGGAGTTTCCCTCCAACCGGGCAGGTCTGTGTGGTGTTTACCTGAGCAGCAGCATGGTGGCTGGAGGATTGGGGGTGCCTCCCCACCCAGCCCTGAATGAGTCAGCAGAAGGGGAGCCCTTCCTCAGTGCCACACCAGGAGCACTGTTGATAGGTGTGTCTCTGGGTGCCTGAGTGTAAAGTGCTGCCTGCCAGGGGCCTCCTTTGTCACCGTCCTCCCTAATGAGCCACCAGGACCCAGGAGGGAGATATCTGATGACCTGCAGCTTGCATGCACTCTGTTCCAGGAAGCTCACTCTTCCTAATCCCAGTCCTCAGGATGACCCCCACTGGAGTGTGACCCAGCACACGCTCTTGGTTCCGCTTTGCCCCTCCTGACCAGGTGTCCAAGAATCTCACCTAGCTGGGCGTGGTGGTGGCACACACTCTGGGAGGCTGAGGAGGGAGGAAGGAGGAGGGAGAATTGAAAATTGGAGTTTTAGGGAGACCTTGTCTTAGAATAAAGGCGGGAGGGACTAGAGGCGGCACTTACTGTCAGTGGTTCCGTCCCCAGTACACCAAGACAAAGGAATCTTATCAGATGGCTCTAACAGAGGACCCTTGGGGAGGCCTGGCCCAGTCTTCTCCCTGTAGTGTGGCTCTGTAATTCTAAATTACAGCAGGGGACTGAGAGAGCAAAGTATGAAAAGATAACTGAAGACACATTAAACTTTTGTTTATTTAAGTGGGGTGGAGATGGTCCCTCCAGTCCCCAGGCAGTTGGAACTATCCTGAGGTGCAGGGAAGGCATATTAAGGTGTTTGGGAAGCAAGACAAAATATGTGATTGGATAAACTAGAGTACCTAGCTTTCATTCACTGTCAATTTCTGATTAGTTGGTAATTTCTGATTGGCCAAGTCTCCAGTTAGAGATTAGTTGGTAATTTCTGATTAGCCAAGTCTCTAGTTAGGGATTAGTTGGTAATTTCTGATTAGCCAAGTCTCTAGTTAGGGATTAGTTGGTAATTTCTGATTAGCCAAGTCTCTAGTTAGGGATTAGTTGGTAATTTCTGAAAGCGTTTTGCCCTAGAATAAATTATAGGACATGGCAGTAGTTCAACATGGTGGAAGGCCAAATCAGGGATGCTTACCCTGATGGCCACTTCCTCCTTCCCTGATTACAACTTCCTTCTTCCTTTCCCCATGCACATGAAGAAAATTCCAGTCAGATCCTCGCATTTGTCATCAATGCCTACCCCAAGCACCACATCCGGTCAAAGGTCACATATACCCCACACCCCCATACCTGGGCAGAGTAGAAAGCCAAACCCTTGGTGGTCGTGGGCTCCTCTCCAAATCCTTTAAATAAAAAGGCCATTTTTACTTTTTCTTATATTGTGTTCCTTTATTGCGCCAGAAAACTCTTAACAATTTCTGATTGGTCAAGTCTCTAGTTTGAGATTAGTTAGTAATTTCTGATTGGCCAAATGTCTGGGGAGGTGCTGGATTCTGGTGAGCTAAGTGTAATTTTTCTTGTAACTGCTTCAATGGGGTGTAGTTTCAGGAGCAACCCTAGGAACTCAGCTGCCAGAGCCATCTCAGCCTGTGGGCTTCCCGGCTGGTTTTGCTTTTGAATCATTGGCCCTGGCCCTGTGGATCCAGGTACTTGAAGTAAGTAGATGTGTCATGCCAAGGTGTAGTAATGAGCATTGAAATGGTCATGTAACCCTCACGCTGTCTTGAAAAAGCAAAGTGTTTATTTAAGTCTCATTTATTGGGATTATTTAAGTCTAATTTATTGGGATGTGTGCCATTTGGTCATCCCTGCAAAGGACTCTGAATTCAGATCTGTTGAGGTTTTGGATTTCAAACTGTTGAGAAAAAAGTAATAAGATTATTGAAATTAGCAGCTGTCACTTTTGAAACTGACCAGACAAAATTTCCTATGGTCTAAACTGCTCCCCAACCCAAGGGCCCCACATTTCAGGCTGTGCTGGGCCATAATGTCCCACTGTCAAGAACCAACTTGTTCCCTGAATGAGTGCCTAGTCGGTTTCAGCAAGAGGAGTCAGGTGTACTGTTACAGGCAGCTGAGTCGGAAATATTCTAGGCAGTGAGACAGGGCTGGGCCCTCAAAGAAGCCAGGGCAGAAGACCAGAAACCTTGCAACTGTGGGGGAAACAGACACCTCTGC